AGTCTTGGATTTGTTTATGTCCACGTTTGTACTAAACTTCAATTTACGATTTAGTGCAAATTTCTCACATATAATTATCATTTCCTGTAACCCATTCCTACTTTGGGACAGAAGAATTATTATCCGAATAGTGTGAATCATATAATTTTTAGCGTAAAAAACTTTGCGCTTGTGAATTATGCTGCAGCTGTCAATTAATAAAATTGAGAGAATCCACATCTTTCAGAAACACGAGGATATCTTCCTAATAGATTATCCGATAAAGTACTAAAGGACACCTTTGTGAACCGAGTATGTATCGGTTTGTGAACCGAGTATGTATCGCTTTGTGAACCGAGTATGTATCGCTTTGTGAACCGAGTATGTATCGCTTTGTGAACCGAGTATGTATCGCTTTGTGAACCGAATATGTATCGCTTTGTGAACCGACCGAGTATGTATCGCTTTAAAATTTCGTGGTCAGTATCTTTAAAGCAAGATAGTTATCAACACTTTCAGTAATGTTTAATCTATATATATATAAAGTTGTAATCTCTCTTTGTCTGTCTGTCCATTTTTCCGTTCATAACTCAGGAACCTCTGGACCGTTTTGCCTCAAATTTTGATTGGGGAACTCGGGTGAGACACGGGAATCTTTTCAGCTTGGTTCTGGGATTATAAGTTTATGTAGTGGGTCGACTTTTTTTTTGAAAATTCAGTTTCTTGGTAAAATCAACCAAGTGCGCGCGTAAAATTTACAACGATACCGGAAATGCGTTGTCATCAAAGAATGCAGGAGATTTCCATTGTCTTTCTTCTCTTTGAAATTTTCAATTGTGGATTTTGCTTCAGAGACATTCGAGGAAATAATTATAATTAAACACTTTTTTCTCGCTAGAAAACGATAAAATCTTCTGCATTATTCACAAGACAAAGGTTTAAAGGGAACCAATGTTTATCGGTCCTTCACCCTTTATAAATGATAGTTCATTGTAATTAAAACGATTGCTTTTAAGGGCTTTTTTAAAATTCGGTGAAGGTGATGGACCAAACCTCTGTAGAGTAAAAAAGTAGATGTTCGTTCCACATTTATTGAAAATATATTTCGGTCTGGGTTGACCCTCGTCAGTTCTTGAGATTACATGGGGAGAGAGAGAGAGAGAGAGCGCAAGAGAATTTGTTTTTCCTTATTTTAGGCACTTTTTACCTTTTACAGATCTTCCCTCTGCTCCTGTTAAATATTCTATCTGCCCTTGAAATAATTTTGGTTGAAATTGATCAACATATATTATTAGAATGATTTATCAAATAAAATCATACCATTCTATGATATAAAGAAATTGAGTTTTTGTCACAAACACAAATTTTCTAATCCTTTTATCTTTGCAACCTGATGGTGTAAACCTTTTATATTTCAAACTTAGATTACTTCTTTCTTGTATTCCTTTTATTTCGATCATTTGAAATTCTTTCATTTATTTGTTCACCAGAATTTATAGTTTAAAATATCTAAGAGTAAGATTTAATGCCTTTGTAAAAATCTGAAGTATTATTATTAGCCGGTTGTAAGATCTAAGGATCATAAACTATGACGTGTTCAGGGTGTTCATACTCGAGATGTTCTCCAGAGAAATCCCATCTTCAATCTACTAACCCTACAAATCTCTACAAATACATCAAATCTACAAACACATCGAATCTACAATTATTCTTAATGTCCAAAATGTTTTATATATTTGAGAGTTTAATGTAAAAACATTTTAAAGGCTTATTTTATATCTTGAATTTAAGTATGATTTTATGATGAAAAGAATGATGGAAAATTGTTTTAAAAACTGTAAATGAGTTTTATAACTGATGAAAACACCTATACCAAAAAGTCTAGCCACTACTTTTAAATAATGAACCTTATCTTTTAGAACACTATGGGTTAGTTGATCCCTTCTAACTTGCATTCGAGTCTCTTTCTCCAGGTTTATAAATCATCCGTTAAAAAAATATTTACATGGAAACTTGTTACAATATGTTGCTTGATTCTCTTCTAACGGATGGTTTATATAATCTGTATAGATTTGTTGTGATAAGTGTAATTCCTCCCTTAAAAATTCCGTGCATGTCTCCATGCACTGAACCAGGTGATAAATTATGAATATCCAAAGTTGAGCTTAAAAAATATCCTAGACTCTCACAACCACTTCAACATGACTCTAATGCTAGGCTGGCTCTGAGTCGCTGTTGATCTCAAGATCTGTAACCTCTCCGCTGCCTCGCGGATAAGCTGTAACCTCTCCGCTGCCTTGCGGATAAGCTGTAACCTCTCCGCTGCCTTGCGGATAAGCTGTAACCTCTCTGCTGCCTCGCGGATAAGGTGTAACCTCTCCGCTGACTCGCGGTGCTAATCTTTTCTGTATCCTTGGTCTCCAGAATAAAGATGCTCTCTAACCTCCTTACACCTACTAATCTGGACACCCTGAGTCTGGGGTAGGTCATGATATAGGTGAGGAGTAAAAATTTTGATCTTTTGAACTCCGTCCAACGAATTTGATTTAGACCTACGTATACAAGACTCCGATCTCAACGGAGTCTGAGTGTTCCTGTATCTCTGGACGCTTGGTTTGAGTTCTACACTACCCCTGATAGTACCTCAGAGTCGCCTCTACCTCTTCGTATACCAGATCACCGACGACCACGACTTGGTTATCCTGCTCCCCTCCGATACCTCCGACGGAAGGACCCTGAAAAGAATTTTCTACATCTGGATACTGTATCCCAGATCTATTGCTCCTTCTCTAGATCAAATACAGTTCTCATACCTGAGACTGCGGAGCATTCTAAACGAACTATAGGCTCCAAACCTACGGACAAATCAACATTGTAAGTGAACTTTTAAATTTATATAAATTTTAAATGTTTTTAACCTGGAGAAAAATTATTTTTTAAGGCTAGTACTTTTATTGTTGTATGCAATTAAAATAACCGGACTGATTTATTGTGCTTTCAGTTCACGGTTGAGTCCTGTATTAAACTGCAAACCTGAAATATATATAAGATATCGATCAGTGCTAACTGAGGTGAGCCGACGAGAAAGAGTTTAAGCTTGCTCTAATGTTAGTAGCAAACTTGCCTGAGCTGAAAACTTTAGAATGGGATATCCTTAATCCCGATCGGTTAATTAATCTTTAGATTAATAACAAGAGGAGAACAAGCATTATTTAATCTGGAGATTAAGAAAATGAATAGATCAAGCATTGATCTCGATATCCACCATTCTAAAGTTTTCAGCTCTGGACTCCTTTGGGTAAAACGAGCACACCGGGTTTGGAATTTCTGTGCTTATTCATCCTGCAGTTTACTGCAGTGTTATTCTTGTCAGTTCTGCTATTAGTATCTTGGTATTCTCTAGTGAGCAAGTTAGATTAGTTTCAAGAATCATTTATGTTCATTTGCTCATGTTTAGAGGTGGGCATCGTGTTTTCTAAATTTTCTAAATATTCTCATTTTTTTCGGCTTTAAGGACACTTTTTAATATACTGAGAAGTTTCGAAATTGGATGCTTTTAAAGGTTGCCTGCATATACGCTACTCAAAATGTTAACTCTGAGCAAGTAAAATCGCTTATTGGTTTTGCTTCGTTCAGGCCTCGCCTACATGTCTCTTCTGTAGGAGTCAATATCTTGAACAATTTAAAAAAAAACACTAACTTGGGAACCCAGCTTTGTCTTCTGGTGTTTCCAATAAAAGTCAACTCAATCAATTTAGAATTTTTCAGTTCAAAAAGAACGTCGGAAAAATGTTCAAAAATTATTATTTTTGATTTCGACAAATATTAAACTTTGGCACATGTTGTAACATTCACTATTTAAGGGCTTTTGAAATGTATAATTTTTAGCCTTGTAGCTTAGTTAATAAAATATTATTTAGCATTTATTATTTTTTAAACACCAACCCGCCGTTTGACTGTCCTGCACCCTACCCTTTGCATGAAAAAAATTTTACCAAAATTTGTTAACAACTATGAACTTACAAAGTTTAAGCCGTTCGTAAGTTAAGAAGAAAAAAACAAGCATTGATAGGGTTAAGAACACTACCGTGGCTCAACCATTGTTCTCCAATCAAAGTTTGAGACAAATCGGTCCAGGGGTTCATTACAAGCAGAGATCACTACTTTATCTAGAAACTTTAAGAGAATAAAATTTTGAAATATGCTATTAGAATTCATGGAAGATAGAAAACCCTATTTAAAAAATAACGTAAAGCGTATCCAGCGAATCTAGAAAAAAAATTTCAAGAAAAATCGCCATAGTTGTTTTTGATTTGTTCGGGCCAAACATAATTCTTATGTTGGAGTCAAAATGTCGCACAAGGTTAGAAAAGAACCTTTGAAGAAAACGAAATTTTAAATTATGTTAGCAGATTTTTAAGGAGTCTGAATATTTAACGTTATCAGAATAAATTCAAACGAAGTCTAACTTTCATATCATAAACATGTCAACATGAATATTAATATAAAAAATTGTGATGACTATAAGCAAAATAAGCAAAATAATGCACGTAATAATTAATGACTTTTTGCAATTCTTTTGAAATATTACACCTTAATTATTAAGTTGTTATATCATACAAACTCTTCGGTTTTGAACAATAGTTTTTTAACTTGGACATAAAATGCGCAATTTCGTATAGAAACATAAAAAACTTGTAGTTTACATAAACATATTAATTAATCAAATGCTTTTTACAAATCCAACTGTAAAAACTTTGTTGTTTAGATCGTGTCCAACCTCCATTAGATATTTTAACCTGAACAAGTTGATTTATAATTTACCATTTATCGGACTAAATATATTTCAAGTATGGAGGTTATTTAAGGTCCAAGGTTCACTTTCTTTTGAATTAATTATTCATGACCGCCTACAGCACAAACAGGGACAAAACAATTATTATTTAAAATTACACAGAGTGGTAAAAAGTCTCTCATTTTGTAAAATGCCCTCTCTCTCTCTTTCTCTGAGACTAAATATATTTATTTCTTCCTAGATTTATTGGTGAAATATGTAAAAATTAAGAAAAATGTCACGAACTTGGCAAAAATGGATCTAAATCAGAAAGAAATCCGCCTTTTGAGCAAAGACGATCAAATATCAGTCTATAAGAGCTCTATGTCTTGTATAACCAGTTTTTTTACTGGGTGGAAGAGACGGAATAATTGATGTTCCGTTTATAAAATTGGAAATCCTAGATGGACTTGAATCTATGCGGGGAAAATTGATGCTAGTTGATCGGCTGGGAAGATCCCGGCCTGGGTTTCGAAGATCTAAAGAGGAAGGTTTCGGAAGTTTCCGCTCCCGACTTAACCCACGCTTAGGCTGAACCTGGGCAGCGTTTAGGACGAGATGGGATCCTCCGGGAGGAGGTTTAGGGAGCATTCGTCCCGTTCCCGTACCCATTCTACGATCCGACACCGGGGTTCGTCTTTTAGCCTCAGTCCTTGGTGGACTATAGCCGTGAAGCTCCCGATTCGTCCGGGGAGGACTATAATTATCACTTTCATAACTGCACTGGTTTGTCAAGATCGGAGTTCTTCGTATCCGTTCGTTCTCAACCCACTCCAGCATATGGTCGTCCTGGATCATAGAGGGTGACGAGGCAGGGATAACAATACCCGGCGGTTGCTTCGGCGTTTTCGGCAACCGCCGTCCGGCGCCGTGTGGTCGTGGCCGAAGATTTGGGTGGCTCCACTGTCTTTCTAATTTGAAAATTGTCCTTTCTCCCCCGTCCAATTCCTCTTCTAACCCGTCATAGATATCTGAATGATATGGAGCTCCACCGAGCCGGTTGCGACCGGGCAAGGAATCATACCTTGCCCGGTCATCGCCCGAGGAGTCGTAAGGATCACGTTTATAGTAAATGTCCTCATAATACTGAGGCGCAGTGTACTCTCTGTGGCGGTCAACTGATACTCCCCTGTAGCGGGATAGTTTACCCCCATTACCATTGACCAGCTGGTTCAGGGAGGGTTCTCCATCTGCCAGACTAGATCTGATATCCTCCAACCTGGAATATTAATCAGTGTAAACTCTATACCCGGAGATTGAAGTTGTAAACCCGGAGTCAAGGGTGAGTGGAGTTTTATACTGTATAATATAAACTGGAGAAATCGATAAAACATATGTATCTGTATCCTTTTCTGCAAATGTAAACCTCAAGCGGGAACTTTATTAATTTATTGAAAACAAGATATTGTATTTTCTTTTTTCAGAGGCAAAGGGTAGTTAATTATTAATCTACTGATATTAAACTAATCAAAAGAACTGATAACCCACCATAAATTATACAGGAACTGAGTCTTTGCCACAAACCCAGATTTTCTAATTCCTTTATCTTTGCAACCCGTTATCGTAAACCTTTAATATTTTAAACAAAGAACGATCTGCTAGATCGAATAGTCTAAGTTTGAAATAAAGAAGGTTTATACCTTCAGGTTGCATATATACAGATAGAGATTAGAAAATTTTAATGTGTATCATACTTGGACTATTTATTCGTGCTAGCAGAATTCAAGGTTTAGAAATTTTAAAGGTCTACGACACCAGTTAGGTTGCAAAGATATAGTAGTGATAAAAAGATTGATTTATCGGCGATTAATCAGTTGTTCATCTTAAGTTGTAAAGTTTTTCGATCTTTTTTGCAAGGTTAAATATTTTGCAATGCCAATTAATTTGATCAGACAAAGAGAAATAAATGGCCGACCTGTCATTAATAATATTATTAATGGTGACAGGAGGAGGGAGAGAATTCAAATAGTTCTCCACAATCTCCTGTTTATTCTCCTGAGCCTGGTTGGCGGGCAGCAGCGGGGCGGGCAGAGTCACCGCCGATGTGACCACAACCGGGGCCGATGTTGTGATGGGAACGGCGGTTAGAGGTGTGGCGGTTACAGGAACGACGGTTGGTGGAATAGGGGCGTCTAGAATTGCCTTGTTGTTGTTGAGCATTGTTCCTCCGTTCTAAAATATAAATTGAATTAATAAAGATCCCATGATCTCCGGCTCCAAACCTTGTTAACCCTCTACCTATACACCAATATCTGATCTCCGGCTCAAAACCTAGTTAACCCTCTACCTATACACCAATATCTGATCTCCGACACAAAACCTTGTTATCCCACTACCTATACACCAATATCTGATCTCCGACACAAAACCTTGTTAACCCACTACCTATACACCAATATCTGATCTCCGACACAAAACCTTGTTAACCCACTACCTATACACCAATATCTGATCTCCAACAAAAAAACTGCTAAACCAAAATGAACCTGTAACCTAACCTTAACTTAAACCTGGACCCAAATCTTTAAATGGACCTAAAAAATAATCCTAAGCCTAAACCTGGACAGAAACCTTAAGATATAGACCTAAAACTGTGCCTGAACCTAAACCTAAACCTATATCTCACATTAATCTCTCTGAAAGGGGATGATTCTTTTGGTGTACTGTCCTGTCTTGCAGGCTATAGTCTGTATACGTTTAATGATCTACTTCCTTTAGTTTAGTACTTCAGTGTTGGTAGAAATAAGTTTATTTTAAAGGATTACACTGGTGTAATGAGAACATACACTTAGTAAACTAGAAATACAATTTAGCTAAGGATAAGATAGAAAAGACTAAACCTAAATGAAACCAAAGAACTGTAGAATAGGAAGACGACATTAAAGCAATAATTATGTAGTAACACAATAATTCATTTATTCCGTGAAATTGGTCTGTTGACACTGCACAATTGCTGTCTTTCATATATAAAAGAGTTCGAACTCAAAGAATGAGATAAAACATAATAAACCCAAAAGATATGGCAAAAAGACTGTTTTAAATAAAGTCAATGAATAAGAGCAAGATATAAGAAAGATATGTAAAAATACATTTAGTTTATAGCAAGATATAAAAAAAGATATATAAAAATATATTCAGTTTGTAGCAAGATATGATGAAATATATTTAATTCTAACAAGAAATATATATAAAAATATATTTATTCCTAACAAGAATATATAAAAAATATTTAGTTTACAAAGAATTCTTACTATGGTAGGGTGTGTGTATGTGTGAGTGTATGTTTGTTGACCTATTTAATATTAATGTTTAATATCTCCTCAATGCTTACCGCAATATGTTTTGTAGTCCCGAAGCCCTGACCAAACCTTGAGAGTTTCCAGTTTTCCAGGATTAACATTCCTCCATAAACCTTTCCTACGGTTAGTTTGCCTGGTCCTGTCTCCTCCGGGGGAGGGACTAGGAGATCAACCATAGGAGGAGATCCACCTCGGGTACTAGGCCAGGACTTCTGGATTGCAGCTCTCAGCTCCTAGGTTAGTAAACATCATGTTAAAACGTAATTACAAGTAAGAGTGGAATGCCCGATTCACAACGGTCCATAAAAGGTTTTCCTGATCAAGAATGAGACGTTTTCCTCTTTAAACTTGATGATTTTTAGTTGTAGTTTCTCTATATTAAAAGTTACTTTTAGATTTATCCTACTTGTCCGAGCTGACACTTTAAATTAATTGAGTACTGTTGCTTTAAATGGAAAGCCTATATCAAATTTGAGAAACAGTCCCTTTAATACATGAAAAAGTATAAAGTATCAGTGTTAAAGGACCTGAGGTAGAAATCTTTGTATGATCTTAGCTAATCAAAAAACATGAAACTAACTATGACCAAGTTACAAAAATACCGAAAAAGTTTTGAGTTTGCCCTGGAGAAGAAACTGTTCATAAGCAAAGTGACTTTTGGTTTTAAACTTTGGTCAAACTTTGGTATTCTCAGATCTTAAATCAGAATACTAAAGTATGCATCTTAACTCATAACCAACAACATTAATCCTAGCATCTAAATTCAAATTTTGATGATTCATTTTACATTTTCTTAATGTTTTTCGACTTTCAGAAGTTTACATTTTTTTCATGATATTTTCTCACAGTGTATAAATATAGCTGTATGAAAGAAAATTTTATTAGAAAACGTTTTTAGATTTTTGTAATGCCTTTTAAAAGTCCAAAATGTTATCTGAGATATTACCATGAAATTATCTACTATGAAGATTATTTAACATAAACAAGAAAATAAGTACATTTCGGCTAAAATACGGCTAATTTTCTAAACTAAGCTAATTTTAGTAAGATTGTCAGTGTATTTTTTTTTAAAGAAAGGGTCTAAAGATTTCAGATTTGAACTTTTACATGAGCTAGAGCAGAACAATTGATAATTGATGATAAAATAATATGGATGACTCCACTCCCTCAGAGCTAAAAAAGTCCTGGATGATCCTATTGATTTCCTATAGTGATCCCCATTAAGCTGTGAAATAGGAAGACGACATTTAAACAATCTTATGTGTTTTTATATTATTATATAAGCAAATTCTGTTACCGTAGCAGAAAAAATGCAAAAAATGCAAAAGGTCTGTGATACTGCATAATTACTGGGTTATTATGTTCATCGGGTTATCAGAAAAAAAATCATTTAAGAGACTTACAGTCGTCTTCTTATTCCACAATTTTATGGATTCCACTGTACCTGATCCGCCTGGTCCATCTCCTCCATACTCCTCATGAAGATCTGCAGGTTGATCCTGATCAGGGCGAACAGGGTGGACTTGAAGTGAACCTTCCCCTCCTCATCCACCGGCATATTCATCCTAACCAGTCTCTTGTAGGCTAGTAGATCAGGGCATTTACTCCCAAAACCTAGCGGAGGATCAATCTGTCGGAGTAGAGCCAGGAGATCCGTGTAGTGAACCAACCCCCTAGATTAGAAATAGGTTAGATATCATGGAACTTTAGTTTATGTCCAATTCTTGAAAAGGTTAAAATACCCCTCCTTAAACAAGCCGTCCAAACCCGTAGATTAGGAATGGGTTAGATCTCATAGAACCTTAGTTTAACATATACTTGGATATATATCTATATAGTGAACCAAACCCCTAGATTAGGAATAGGTTAGATATCATAGAACCTTAGTTTAACATATACTTGGATATATATCTATATAGTGAACCAAACCCGTAGATTAGGAATGGGTTAGATCTCATAGAACCTTAGTTTAACATATACTTGGATATGTATCTATATAGTGAACCAAACCCCTAGATTAGGAATAGGTTAGATCTCATAGAACCTTAGTTTAACATATACATGGATATAATCTGTATAGTGAACCAAACCCGTAGATTAGGAATAGGTTAGATCCCATAGAACCTTAGTTTAACATATACTTGGATATATATCTATATAGTGAACCAAACCCGTAGATTAGGAATAGGTTAGATCTCATAGAACCTTAGTTTAACATATACATGGATATAATCTGTATAGTGAACCAAACCCCTTGATAAGAAATAGGTTAGGTACAAGACCCGTATTTTAACCTTTGCATATATTATATACGCCCCCCCCCGTCCAAATTAAACCTGATCCTAAGACGAATTCCTTTTATATTTTTGATTTATGAAAATATTTGGGTTCAGGGTTGCAAATGTCTTTTCTTTGATTCATGGTAGGTCTTCTATTAAACTTGAATTCCGACGGATTTTAGCTGGAAAATGTAAAATATGAAAATTGTGATAAACGGAGTAAAATTTATACTGTAGAACACCAAACCTAGACATAAAATGGAGGCTTGTTAGTTGGGATTCAGGGAGAAATAAGTAGCAGGTTAGGACGGAGCTAATGGTAGGGCTAGTTAGGATACAGGGAGGATAACGTTTCAGGATAGGACGGAGCTAATGGTAGGACTAGTTGGGATACAGGGAGAAGAAGGTTGCAGGCTAGGACGGAGCTAATGGTAGGACTAGTTCGGATACAGGGAGGCTAAGGTTGCAGATTAGGACGGAGCTAATGGTAAGACTAGTTAGGATACAGGGAGGAGAAGAAGGTTGCAGGTTATGACGGAGCTAATGGTAGGACTAGTTAGGATACAGAGAGGAGAAGAAGGTTGTAGGCTAGGACGGAGCTATTGGCAGGATTAGATAATATACAGAGAGTGTTAGGACTAGATCAGATATATACTGATAATCATGTAAAAAATAACTTTTTACAAATTAGAGAAAAGAATTGTTAATGAAGAATAGTATAGAACCATGAAGAGAATGATTTGATGAAAGTTTGAAGAACCATATTTTTACAAGTTTCATTGTTTTAAAACTTTTTATCTTTTTATTTGTTTAATCCAGTGTTACTTTCATATATAAATTCGTCTGGTTGACTTTTTAAAAATCTCCGGGTACTAATATATACAGAGTAGAGTTCAGGAATATAACAAGATACTTACTCTCCCCCAGGATCGTATTCACACCAAGTAGTCACGAACTCTGAGAGATGATGAGAACCAAGAATGGATGAATCTCGTGTGAGGTAGTCAAAACTAGACAAATATCAAAACTAGACAAATATCAAAATTAGAAAAATATCAAAAAGTGGCGATTGATTAATAATATTTGTAATTGATTAATTAACTCAGAACCTATTCTAGTATTTGATTTAACAATTGATTATTTATTTGGTATTTGATTAATTGATTAATTGATTACCTATCAGTGATCACAGCAACCACGATGTTGAGCATAATAAATGAGCAGAGGAAGATGAATGAGATGAAGTAGACGTAGGTGATGACGGAACCACACCTCCTCTCTGGGTCCGTGATATACAGCTCTCCGTACTCCGTGTAGTTCCAACTATGCGACCTAGGATCACAGGGTCGACCTGATACAGCTGACATCATGATATCAGGCCACGCCTCTCCCGTAGAACATCTACAAATTAGATAATAATAATAATAATAATGATAATAATAATAATAAATATAATNGAATACGAATACTGACTGATCTACGGAGTAGTTTGACCAGCCTGGCGGCTCGGAACAATCGGAGGAAGCCGACATTCACGATCCGGGTTGCGTCTATGATACTCCCAACCACGGTGATAAAATCGAACACGTTCCAAGAGTCTTTGAAGTAAGGCTGAAACAAACATTGATTGATTGATTGAATAAATTAATGTAATTATGTTTATACATATATTTTGTATATTTGTCTTTTCAAATAATTTATTTCCAACTCAACTTCTGGACAGTTAGACCACCATAGTAAATGTATTTCTTGAAGAAATATACATTTAATACCATTTTGTAAGTATAGCACCATGTGTTCTTTAGCATTATAAATAGAAAATACTGTTTCACACCAAACCAAATCAAATTGTTGGAAAAATCTAATGCACTTTTTATAGTATTAATTAAAATTATTGCATTACAAGAAAATATTGGTTGTTTTCTAATCGTTTCACTGTGTTGAAAAATGTTAATTTTTTTAGAACACAATAAACTAACCTAAAATAAGAATTCAAATCTGGATAAAAAGCAATATGAAACGACATAAAATCCGCAAAACCATAAGTATGGAATCATATCAAGCTTTGGACAAGAAGCCTCCCCCTCCTTAGTTTTCTCGAATAAAAGCTATAATGAACTCAATTTCTTAATGGAAACTTTTGAATTAAATCCATTAGTTGAGAATAAAAGCTTCATCTGTACTGCGTACATTCTTTACATGGTTTGGAGTTTTCGAGAATTTTCTTATTTTTATTTAAAATTCCTTGTATTCAGCTGCAGCAGTAGATTCTACTGCAGAGCTAGAAACTAAATCTTTCAATTCATTGTCTCCAAGTTCTCAATGAGCATAGATTTTGCAATTCTAGTCTTAACCCAGACTAGTTTTAATCTTAACCCAGCAGACTAGTTTCAGTCTTAAACCAGCAGACTAGTTTTAATCTTAACCCAGACTAGTTTTAATCTTAACCCAGCAGACTAGTTTCAGTCTTAGCCCAGCAGACTAGTTTCAGTCTTAGCCCAGAAGACTAGTTTCAGTTTTAACCAAGCAGATTAGTTTCAGTTTTAACCCAGCAGACTAGTTTCAGTTTTAACCCATGCAGACTAGTTTCAGTTTTAACCCATGCAGACTAGTTTTAGTTTTAACCCAGCAGACTAGTTTCAGTCTTAACCCTGCAGACTAGTTTCATTCTTAACCCAGCAGACTAGTTTCAGACTTAACCTAGCAGACTAGACTTAACGAGATGTAACTAATTCATACTGTAATTATAAAGATGAATTAACATTATACCCTGATCGAATCAGGGTGAATTTCTAAATAATAAATAAGAAAAATAAATCGTAATAGTAACAAATCCTGACCTGTGTGAATAATAATATTATCTAACATAAAGGATAAAGTTGAAGAATACTTGAGTAGTCTGGACTTCCATAATTATATTGACTCGGAGCAGATATTGAATATAATATTGCATATAATATTTCATATTCAGTGGGACCCACAAAACTGTGAAATAGGAAGACGACAATTAAACAATCTTATTTGTTTATGTTGTGTTATAAAGCTAATAGGTTTACCATGAGCTTAAAAATTCAACTTAAGCGAAATGGGTCTTAGTGCGCTGCACAGGCGTACTCGGGGGGGGGGGGGGATAGGGGGGTCAGACTCCCTCCCTTGGATAAGCAAAATCTACGGTTTCCAGGTAGTTTTCAGGCCCCAACAGGTTCTGAGCCTCCCTGGAAACAAAAAAGAACAATTAAGCCCCCCTTGGAAAAATTTCTGATTTTATGGGTCTTACTGTATGCATTTTTTTTATTGAATCTTTCCCAATTATTATAGAAGAAATTTCAAAAGCGTTGGACAGTAAATAATAGCACAGTTTTACTTAGTTGCTACCCAAAAAGTTACGATGCTTCTTGTCTAATTTGTAAAAACTGCAGATCTAACCTTGTGCAGGTTTATTTTAATAGAATAATTTCTGAATTGAAGTTAAACCCTTCCCCCTAGAATAGTATCACTATTCACTAAGCTATATTTGAGAAAATATATCTTGAATATCAGCCCCTAAATCTTTCCACCCTTCAGATTCAATCTATTTCTTGAATATATGTTTATGCATATATTTTGTATATTTGTCTTTTCAAATAATTTATTTCCAACTCAACTTCTGGACAGTTAGACCACCATAGTTTAAGTAGAAGTAAATATTTCCATTAACTGTTATAGCACCGATATAAGGATTTATCTCTAGGAGGGAGGAAGCGAGCAGGAACAAAGGGAATTAGGTTGAGTGTGGGGGGTGGGGGATAAATGCACCAAGGACAGGATTTAGAAAAGGAATAAGATCCTTATCCAAGGATAATTGAGGTAAAATACTCTTTAAATAAATTCTTCTATCCAACCATCTTCACATTCTAAACCTTGAAAGTTGAATTATAATTATTTCCTCTTTTACTTCTTTTTACTTCTGAAAAGGACTAAATATGTAATTACAAATGACCCAACATGTAATTACAAATGACCCAACATGTAATTACAAATGACCCAACATGTAATTACAAATGACCCAACATGTAATTACAAATGACCCAACATGATTTTAAGAATCGTCCAGTAAACCTCCTCTTTTTAATCAACAATAAGTATGATATCCTAAAATGAATTGAATTTTGATAATTTCCTTAAATTATTCTCTTTAAAACCTAAAGCTGCAAGCCCCTGTTATAGAGAAACCACAATTATAAATAATAAATTTTCCGAGAGAAAAAGAAAGATGAGATATCTGTTCTTGATCAAAGAAAGGTTTAAAGTTAATCAGACATGAATGAAGACCAAGGATTACTCGAAATCACGTCTACAGTCCCTAGTTAACTCATTTCTATCTTTAACAACTGGTTAAACATTTTCCTTAATTGCTCACCTTAATTGATTGAAGGAATGTATAGAGTAGAATACGAATACTGACTGATCTACGGAGTAGTTTGACCAGCCTGGCGGCTCGGAACAATCGGAGGAAGCCGACATTCACGATCCGGGTTGCGTCTATGATACTCCCAACCACGGTGATAAAATCGAACACGTTCCAAGAGTCTTTGAAGTAAGGCTGAAACAAACATTGATTAAATAAATACCTTCAATGTAATTTATCAGACATTTGCACAACGTAGCAGAAAAAGACGATTTTTTTCGGAAAAATTCTTTTCTGCCATAAATCGTCTTCATGTGCTCTATGTGCTAATACTAGATACACATTATTCCTCTAAGCATAAACGTAAACATCTACATGCATTGTTTTTTGTACTCTTTAGCACATCCCCCGTTTACATTACATTTAACCATGATAAATATTAGTATTTTTGCCTTGTGACGCCCCCAAATCTTTGATAAATGGTCATTAGAATCTATTCATATATCTAGATTATCCTAAATCTGTTGTAATTTCTTGTAGGAAAGCTATATAAAGTATATATTTTTGTTTGTACACAATATAACAGATTTTTAGGATCCACAATGGATAAATATGTGAAATTGAAATCATTATAAATCAATGCAAGCTACAATTGATACAATTATTGTAAAGTTTTTAAATGAAAAGATTTCAGAATACATTTGAATTGTCCATTCATATCATGAAAAACAAGGCATATGTAATTCATTTTGAAAGAAAGATTGTGGCGATAACCAGTCAACCCCGCCCCTCCCGACCCCTTAAAATACTCCACTGTGGTGAGGGTGGGGGCAATAATAAAGATTGATAACTTTGTAAAAAGTGTGCTCCTGCATCAAATAAGTACATTTAAACATTAAACCTGAAAAAACACCGTCACCTACCTTTAACTATCTGTTAATAATTTTGATATATTAATTAATAGATAATATTTTGTTCATAGATTATTTATTACCAAGCATAGATTTTATTTATTCTTTATTATTATTTCCGCCTGACGTTATTAAAAGTAAAAATAAACATCAAAACTATCTAAACATACAGATATTCTTAAACTTTGTGTAAAAAAATCATATTTGCTGTTTTTCTACCTTTCAAGACCATGCAATAGATTTAAAGATATTTGAACATATCACTTATGTAATAGAGGGGAAATTGAAGGGAAATGGTTCTGCTTAACACAGACTTCAGAGACATCGAAAGATTTTATAAAATGTTGTCTTGGCAATTTTTCAATGAGTTTTACACTATTATATAAACCTAAATCTCAGTTATTGTAAACATAAATAAGTAGCCATGAAATATGCGGGAACAGTTTTAAAGAGCGCCGTAAAATTATTCAATTAAAAAACTAAATATCTGCAGAATTACATTATCAGTAGGGTTAGAAGACGACATTTTATAAATATTTTCCATATCTCCGTAGTTCTTGGTTAATCTGTAACATATCAACATAGGTAACAACATAATATTAGGACCCAGAGACCTAGGGGTACATAAAGTTCATTTGATACAAAAAAAATTATCGTTAATTAATGTTATAATAATTATAGTTATTATATCTTATTTGGCCCATTTATATTTATTTTATGGCTATTGTTAACAACATTTTTTGTTAATATCATAATTATTATTATTATTATTATTATTAATATTATCATTCTCAACTTTTCTTTTTATTATCATCCTATCATTATTGTTATTATTTCTACAAGACAAGCTAAAACTATGATATAATAGACTATAGGTGTGGGTAGGGGTGTAGATACTATAGGGTTTAGGGTAGGGTGGTGGGGAGGGGGTGCAGACCACATATCTCAGATACCTTCTGCTACGTAGTTTAGAAATATAAAAAGTGAGAGAGAGAAAGCTCAACTGTCTCCAAACTCCGAACCTATGGAATAGTGAAACTAAAAAACTCCGTCTCGTCCTGGAGAATTAGGAGACAAACAGGGGTGTAGAAAATATCTTGTTTGTGTCTCAAAGCGAACTTGCTTTCTACACCCCTGGATTAGAAATTCCGGTGTTCAGTTCCGGTTAAACTTGAAGAAGGTGCAAAGCAAGCAAATATTATTCTGAAAACCATGCCTGGTCTAGCTCTGCAGTTCCCTAGATAAAATTCTACACTGTAAACAATCATTTTTAAACCCTCATCTTCTGGGTTTTGTATATTTTCTGCGTTGTTAAATTCATCAGATGTGTTATTTTGAAACAGCTAATAAGCTTTCATAGCATTATTGTTTACAGTCTAGGATAGAGATGAATATTATACAAGATCTCAAAGTGAGGGAATACATCATGCATTGAAGAATTGTAAACTCTAAGATCACCTTTGGACCAAAGGATCCCATCTTGAGGACGCACTCCACCGTGAACATGGCGGTGAAGATGAGGTTAAGGTCGGAAAGGATGTCCATGAACTCCAGAGGTGCGCCTTGAAACTGAAAATAATATTAGATAAATAAAATTATAGAAAGAGGAAAATTCGAATTAAATAACAAACAATAGAATTTATGTTCAAAAGAATTAAAAAAATATTCAGTGAGTGTTTCCGACAACTAACACTGGATTAAAGTGAAGATAGCTTTTAATTGATGATAAATTAGTTTGAAAGTTGTTTTATTTAAGAATTATCATAAACTAGAATTATATGGCGCTTCGCGCCCCCTTTCCTGTAAATAATTTCGACATTTAACTGTTGCTTTGAAAGTCGGCCATTTAAAATCATTTTCAGCTGTTGGCGGATTTTTTCTTTTCAAAATGGCGCATTTTCAAAAAAAACATCTATTTTTCCAAGATTTTTTTTCTCTAAAATTTTAATGTCCCATAAACCTGGGGTCATGTGAAGTCCCACACTAAATTTTTGCCCGATCGGTTCAGTCGTTTAGGATTTTACTGGATACAAACGGACGGACAAACAGACAGACATACAGACAAGCCAATTATATATATAGATAACTTCTGGGGGTCAAAAAGAAATAAAATTCTTTAAAACAATTCAAATTACGATGGCACTTATGCCCAGAAGAGTTTTATAAAAGAAATTTTGGGGTGTGATTGCAAAACCTGAATTGGGGGTTAGGGTGAACCATAATTAAATCATGACTCAAGGCAATAGAATGATCGATTTTGTCTGTTAAAATATCATATTTGACGACTGGAGACCATTTTATATAATCAAATATTGAGATATTAAAAGTATTTTCCAATAGAAAGACAATACCCTTGTGTGCGCTAAGTACTGCTTGTTAATTGCATGTTTGAGTTCAGAGTTTTTCTGTATACAGGAATAGGGTTGGGAGGGGAGAGGAAGGTGGTTGAAATATAGAAGGAGGGGGCCAATGGGGGGGGGCATAAATGGCGGGAAAGTACAGAAGAAACCCAATTAAACTAGACAAATTGCAACTTCAAGCTCACGCAAGTCAGAACATAAACAGGGTTAATGTGTCTCCAATTTGAGATTAAGTTTTCACAATTCACAATTTAAATCGAGAAATAGCATGTTTAAATTAGCACAAAAATAACAATTATTCTACGAAAATTCGTATTTTGTAAACTGTGTATTTAAAGAAGTTGTTTATTTTTACAAATAAAAAAATCAAACGCTTTTCTTAAGTCCAAACTCGACTTTATCAATAAACGTTAAAAACATTGCACAAGGCTCGAGTTTTCAAGGATAAAGCTGGAAATAATTTCATATTTGTTTTATTTAAAAGAAAAGATTTTGATTATGATCGATGTTTGTTTTGTAAAACTGGTTTGATGCAGCACACGTCACAATACAATCTCCTGCCGTACGAGAGCTTTGGAAAAATGGCGCAAAAACGTTCTGGATTTTATATTTTATCTACAAGACCCAAATGTTAAAGGGACTGTATGACCAATTCACAATGGGACCCTTTAAAACCCATAAGGGAGGTATCGTCGTTTAATTATCTTGTAGAACTTTCTGAATTTTTGGGATTCAGACATTTGAATTAATGTTTATATATTGATATAGTGGAATTATTTTATTTAAAACTCTTTTGGGAATATGCACTTTTGGTAGAGATTTTTTAAATGAATGTTGGGAGATCTCTTTAAATATTCGGAGACGTCTTTAAAGATATTCTTAACTAAAGGGAGTTATTTTCGGAAGATATTCAAAAAAATTCTAAAAAGAAATTAATTTATTTTTGTCACAAACTCAACTTTTCAAATTTTTTAAAATTTGCAACCTGATGTTGTACATCTTTGATATTTCAAACTTAGTTTAGTTTATCTAACACAGTTCACAGCATAGGAAATATCCAAGGCCAACGTACGGTGGACTAAGCCAGTGGGGTCGGTCAAATAGGCCTAGGATTAGGCCAGGTACTGTAAAATGCCTGGACGCGCCATGGGAGTTGTCATAGTTAGCCTTCCGACGGGACTATGCAGAGAAAATTGACCCCTGTCGTATGTTAGTCTGGTTAGGGCGACGTACTGTACAGAATATGGTCATCCGTGTTGTGACGAGGCTAACATAGGATCGGGTCAGTACACGCTGTCATCTGACAGGCCAGTACAAACTGGGCAGGTCCTGTTCGAATTAAAATTTACTACGGTCCAGAGTGAACGACATAGGGATTATAGATGATCAAAGTTTGTGGCAGAGACTCAATTTCTTTTTTAAAAAGTTTTAAAACGTTTAATCCTAATCTTTATGATCCTATTATTTTAAGTAACCCAAATATTTCTTTACTTGAGAGTAGCTTGAGGTAGCTCTGAAATGTCTTTACCTTGCACATGAGGAGGATGGTGTTGAGTATGATAAGAAGCATGATAAAGTTCTCGAAGGGAGGGGATGTGACAAGCCTCCAGATTTGATATCGTATCCCAGCCTGGCTCTCAGGGACATACACCTCCTGGGGCTTAGTTTGTACAACATAGGTGATGCAGGATTTCTGAAAGTAGAAAAGTTAAAAAAGAAAAACGTAAAATTAAAAAAAAACATTTGGTTAAGAGGGTTAAAACTTTTAAGCTAAGAAGTCTGGTATACGCTCATAGCCTTTTTACCATTTCAATAGATTTAGCCAGATGATTTGTTTTCACACCTCTCTACTGCACAATTATGAAAGAGACCTGGCCAACTATGAAGTGTTACCGTCTGGCCCTAGGAAAAGCAGGGGAAGATGCCATACATAGCAGATTTAACAGTTCGTTCCTTATCCCAGAGAATTGTGACTTTCGATCACAATTTGACAAATCAAAAATAATTTGTTCGCATTTTCGTTTTCTACGTTTTTTGGTCGGAATATGCGTTTTAAACAACAAAGCATAAAAAGAAAGCTCCGTAAGATTAGAGATTGTTTAATTATAGACCAACCCATGGTTAAATTCAAATAGAAGAAACCGAATGTATCTCGCCTTTGTTAGTCCGGGTTGTTCCGAGTCAGGATTGTCCGAATAACGTACTGTCCGAAAATATATTGACGCATTTCAATTAGGAACACAAAAAACGTAAAATAAATTAACAACAATAAATAAAGAAATGTAGGTGTGTGCGTGTGTGTGGAGGGGGGGGGGGTCATAACCATGATTTTAACTGTTCCGTGCTAGTGTAGTACGGTTTTCGGGCAATCCTACTTTCCGAAGGCATCTTCCCCTGCATCTTGCAGTTCTACCCTTTTTACATTTTTAACCTCGAATAAGAACTTAAAAAACCTCAAAGAGCTTAGTTATTGAAACCATCCTGATGTAAATATTTTACCTGTTTTTTCAATGACCATTTTTTTCACTGTTAAAATTTGAAAATTACCCATGTGAGAAAGTGAAAATAATGCCGCGAATTATTTTTAAACTTGTGAATAGAAAACTGTGACAATAGAATAGATAAATAGTTTGCTGTTAATGGCGGGGAAAATAACAAAAGTTTTTCAACACAATCATTTTTTTATTTTCCAAACTAGAAAGCCCTTCCTTGGTTCAAGGTGAAATATGCTTTGAAAGAAAAGTTAAAAGTTTATTTTCTTTAAATGTGAAAGTTGGCAAGTTGTAGCTAAGCATACCAAAACAGTCAGAACTAGGTTAGATTTTATTCAGAAAAATATCTAGAATATTTATGCAGCGAGAACCAGAAAATTGTGGAATAGGAAGACGACTTTTCATGATTTGTAATAGTCCAATGCACATGAGACACGTCAGCAATTGTGGAGTATGTACTGTGCTTATACAAAGGAATTGAGTCTTTGCCACAAACTCTGATTTTCAAATCTCTATATCTTTGCAACCCAATGTCGTAGGCCTTAGATATTTTAAATTATGAATTCTGCTAGGTCAAATAACCTTAGTTTGAAATATCAAAGCTTTTCGCCATCAGGTTAAAAAGATATAGAGATAGAAAAATCAGTGTTTGTGGCAAAGACTCAATTCCTTAACTTTATAAGCGAGTTTTAGCGATGTAGTAAAGCCATTTACTTTGTATTATATTACTTTGTATTAATGTCGTCTTCATATTCCACAGTTTTCTGGTTGTCACTGTATCATATGAAATGATCACACATTGTTAAAATATAAGTTTCGTTAATTTATCTAGTGCATAATTAAACTTTGACAAGTATTAATTGATTTTTTTTCTTGAAAATTTCTTTTCCGACGTATAAGGCTTGAAACGAAACAAAGCTAACTTTTATCAAACTATTTTTTTACCAGCATGACTTTGAGCTCGTGTAATGTCTCTAGATGGTTCACAATTACAAAGGTATAAAAACTGACTGGCTGGTTTGAGCTCGTGTAATGTCTCTAGATGGTTCACAATTACAAAGGTATAAAAACTGACTGGCTGGTTTGAGCTCGTGTAATGTCTCTAGATGGTTCACAATTACAAAGGTTTAAAAACTGACTGGCTGGTTTGATTAAAAAACTAAAAATTACTAAAAAACAAACTAGAAAAATCAAACCAACTCTGGTTCCATTTGAAAATAATTTTACAAGAAGAAAAATAAATATTTTACGAACCTGATTTTTATCAATATTATCAGTCAACTCTGCCTCGCCAAGCTCATTAAATGTGACGATTACGAGAGCGACGAATATGTTGACGAAGAAGAAAGGAAAGACGACGAAGTAGACGATATAGTAGATCGCCATTTCTGTTCTAAACCAGGGATATGGGCCCTCGTCCTCGTACGTCGAGGACATGGAATCCTGCAGAACCCTGAAAGAAATGATTGCTGCATTAGTGAATCCGCCATTTTTATTTTTGATATGAATAACACATTTCACAAGGTTTCTAATTCAAAATCTATCTGTGCAAAAAATCAACTTCAGCAGGGTTTTAGGTTTTGTACATCATATTGGATCATAAAAAGTTCCTAATTAGACATGATCGAGATTAGTATAAAAATATGTCCTTTACAACAACATGACAATTTTAATATGATTTAAGATGATTTTCAGAGTTAAACAAAAAAGTAATTATTTTTAAAGCAGATATTAATTTTATACAAAATAATTTTTTCAACTTGAGACCTTTTTGCATATTTAATATTATACTTGGTCGAATTTTTTTAAATTTTACAGGTGAAAAAAAGGAAAAACATTTGAGGTAAAAAAACTTACAAGTAAAGAGTACTTAGATTTTATACATTGTGAAGACAATTTATAAAAAAGGAATATAATTCGGAACAAAGGAATTGAGTCCTTGCCACAATTTGCAACCTGATGGTGTATAGATATTTCAAATATCTAAGGTCTGTGACATTGGATTGCAAAGTAATAGAGATAAGAAAATCAGAGTTTGTGGCAAAGACTCAATTACTTTTAAACGCTTCCTGAAAATCCAAAATTAGGTTAATTGAGAAATCCAATTTGCTGTGGTTTACTCTGTTCATAAAGTAATTAAAATCCCCCCACTTAACTTTATTCCTGGCAAATTAATTAAATGAAACATTAAAACTTTATACATCAGCCGCATTGCGCACTTGAGAGAAAAATTTGAATATCACATTGAAAACATAACGAATTAAATAAGAAAAGTATATGCAGCTCTCATGATAATATTAATAAAAAGTTTTCGCAGTCTGCATTGAATTCCAAAAGTTCTGTAGAAGTTTTTTTGCATCACGCTAAACCAACGCCACATAAACTTTTACAAAGTTGCGACAAATGCGCAAATATTCATTCTTAAAAATGTCTCGAGGATTATTATAGATAATGTAAGTGTGTGTGTTGAGCTAGGTGTCTGTATGCTTATGTAGCTTATTGAGGAAATATTGGATAATATTGCTGCATAGAATACGTAATGAAGTATTTATATATATTTATTCATTTGACGATCCGCAGTCAGTATACTTGGACTCATGTAGGCGTGAGATAATACTTCGCAAAGCTGATGAACATCATAAATTTCCCTTTTGAGTTTTGTGCAATTTTAAAGTCTACGGACACTGTATTGTTTATCCCGAGGGGGGTTTCAGTTTGTGTTATTTAAAGTCCTACTGAATTATTTTTACAAAGAAACTGATTACTCCCAACAAAAATTTTTCTTAAATCAATATATCTTTGCAACCTGATGTTGAACTCCTCTGATATTTTAAACTTCGACTATTTAATCTAGGATAATTCTTAGATTGAAAATTAAAGGTTGAAGACATCAGGTTGCAATGATTAAGTGCGTAATCCATTCCTTTAAAATATTTAACCAAAGCAATAATTTTTCAAAAATAACTTGTTAAGAAATTTACAAGAAAACTATACGACATTTTAATTATTTAGAAAAACTAGAAACTTGTAGAAATAAAAATGATAACTCTCTGGTTGTAAAATAAAACCCTTGCACGTTCTTTACGTTCTCCTGGAGACAATTATTATCAAGAGACTGGTACATTATCTTGATTTAAAGAACATTTGAGCAGATAGATCTAGGTTGCTATTTCTTAAATTACCGCTTTTATTGTTTCCAAAGGAAATTAGCATTTTTACAACTGAACAGTGCAGTGAACATCTTGTGACATAGAATTCTGCAAATTTACGATGGCAATAAAAAATGTAGCAAATATGTATTCGGCATTTTGTATTAGACCATGGTTTTGTTCAAAACTTTTTATTTGACTTTAAATGGTAGAAAGAACCGTTTCACAGAAAATCTTTTTGTAATTGAATTATGCAAGTTGCCTACTACCTCAGTTTTAACAAGGAAACTGCATTAATTTTCCCTTTTATTTGCATTTTATACCTTAATATAGGGTTGTTCAATATGTTCTAATCATAGCCGGATTTTGTATAACTCAATTAAGTGCAATAACCTTCAAATCGCTGTAACTTTATTAAGTTTTTAAAACTCAAATAGGGTTGTTCCTAACGTTTTAATTTAAGCAAAATTTTCGTATAACTCAATTAAGCGCAAAAACCTTCAAATCGTTGTAACTCAAATAGGATTGTTCAATATATGCTGATTAAAGCACGGGTTTCGTAGAACTCAATTAAGTTTATTAACCTCTGAAGCATTTCAACTTAATTGAGTGACAAGCATAATTCAAAGTAACCATACATGCGAAGAGGGCAACGTCCAATTTATAACAGTACCCTTAAAGCCTTGTTGTATTGAGTTCAGACTGTACACAGCGCACACCGGAATTTGTTGCTGAACACAAGCGAGTTTCGATAAGTTTACACACACATATCTCTGTACTCAGCAATAATACTAAGGTTTTATGGGTACCATTGTAAATCAAGCATTGCCCTCGTTGCATGAAGGGTCACTTGAAATTATGTACAATCCCTTCAACCTTTAAATCGTCATAATTGAGTTTTTATAAGATGTCTTGAACAACCCTATAGCTGCATTAATTTTATTGTTGGCTCATTCTAAATAAATTAAATGCACCTCAATGATTCTTCAATATTAAAGCAATTTCCCCCCCCCCCCATTTTTAGGTAAAAATATTGCATCAAAAATCACCCGGGGTTCTCGAGATTCCCGCCATTAAAGAAGTTGATTTATTATATAATATTAGATGTTAATCACCAATAAATTACAAGAACTGGGACAGTATATCTAGCTTCTTATCTTAGTTCTTTTTATTTTATGTACCATGTCTTTAGTCTTTACAGGGTTTTCTCCAATACTTGATAAATATGTACAGTTTATTATCTATCTTAAGTATTAAAGTACAAAATGGTGGTTTCCGCATTTGACATTTCTTTTAATTGCTAATATTAACTATTTAGGGTTTTTTCATATATTTTTTTTTATTTATTTAGTGATATGTACTAAGGATTTGAGTCTTTGCCACAAACTCTGATTTTCTAATCCCAAAAGTTTTACAACCCAACTATGAATTTTGTAAGATCAAATCATTTAAGGTTAAATATCAAAGGTTAACATCATCAGGTGACACAGATAAAGGGATTTTAGAAAATATGAGTTTGTGACAAAGACTTACTTCCTTTTTAACTACAGTTTATTTGAAATTAAACCATATCCAGCTTTCTATTCCAGCACAGTCTCTTTTTACAGGAAAAGTTGTACCGTACCGAGTTTTACTTGTACCGTTGTTACCCAGATAAATCATTCTTTTTTCTAGTAAGCTTAATGTGATACATTTTTTAAATACATAAAAGTACTTACGCGATCCATCCTTCTGAAGTTTGGACCGCAAAGAGCGTGATCATAGCCATAGCGCAGTTGTCGTAGTGGAAGGATTTTCTGGACCAAATACGCTCATGAATAGCCGGCGCATGTCGGTCATCAAGGTTGAACACAAAAAATTCTCCCCTGAAAAAACAACAATATTTTCTGAAACATTTTGTTAAAAAGATAAATTACAGACGCAGGTAATAAAACCATGTCAAGAAAATTTAATTAAGATGGATAAGATATTTTCAGCATAGTTTTGAAACCACGCGGAATTTGAATGAATCTCATTGCCGCGGAAAATTTAATTTGATGCGTCTCCGCGGGCCTTATATTTTCCGCAGAGAAGGTTGTACTACTAGTTAAACCAGACAACTGAATATTTCTATATGTATTAAATAACAAGGAATTGTGCAGAGTTTCATACCCCAGGGAATTTATGAGATACATGATCTTGCTAAAACAAAAAAAAAGAAAACATAGGAAAAGGATTAAGCTATTCTGAAATAATACTCGAAAGTTTGTTTAAAAAGAGTTTAGCCATTAGAAAAATAAAAAGTTTAAGATTTTGGAGATTGTTCTGTTCTTATTTGGGAAATTATTAAAAAGATCTGACTGATCGTAGATCTTAATCCAAAGATTGCAAGTTCTCACGCGAAAATCGATAATTGCAATCATTGCCTTCTGCATCTATTTTCCTGGGGTCATATCAGGTCCATAACAAAATTTTTCTAAGTAAATTTAGTTATTTTTATGTTGATTGGATACTACATTGTTTAAGAACTTACTGGCACTCGTCAGCTGTCGTCTTCGCTTCGTCTGTGCAGTAGAAGAACTTGCCGTTGAACAGCTGGACTCCGACCATGGCGAAGATAAGTAGGAACAGGATGTAAACAATTAGGATATTAAAAACATTTCTGAACACAAAACATCCAATAAAACAGCTGTAAAAATATTCTTTTTCAGTCTTTCTCTTCTAACAGTAGTTAAGTCTGTTTTGTTATTTTTCAATCTGAGCCAAATTTTGTATAATTAATACCATTACCACCAGTGGAAATTTCAAGCTTTTGAAACTCCCTCATTTCCCATCTAAATATTCTTATTCAAATATTATATGATTAAAACGTTTGCACAGCCCACCAAGTGAGGCTAATAGAGAAGGTTTGGTATAAAGGCAAATGGTTCGCAATCATGTTTGATTATATAAATTATGTTAGCCCAGTCTAACACAATTATATTACTGTTAAACTAGTCTAAAATAATAAAATTATTGTTAAACATGTTTAACATTCAAGATTACTGTTAAACATGGGTAACACAATGAGATTGCTGTTAAACATGACTATCATGAATAAGATTACTGTTAAACATGACTATCATGAATTTACTGTTAAACATGATTAACAATCAGATTGATTTAGAAAAGTTTATTATGTATTGTTATTGCCCCAAACTCTAATTTTCTACCTCTGTCTTCGGAGCCTGATATTTCAAACTGCGAACCCTTCTAGATCAAATTGTTTAAATACTAACTTCACCACCAGGTTGCAAAAATATAAGGATTGAAAAATTAGCTTTTCAGAATTTTTGAATTTTATGAATGTATTAATGGTTTGTGTTCCTTAGTGATATCATGACACAGTCAAACACTGCTTTGAGAGCAGGCACCCTGTTGATCATCTTCAGAGGCCTCAGGACTCTCAACAGCTTCATGGACTTCAGCTTCGCGCCAGTAGGGGTTCCCCTAAATAAAGAACATTATCAAAAGAAAGATTTTTTAAAATTTTTCTCCCTGAAAGTGTTTTTAAAGCATGTTAGTTTTGAGGATAGGATCCTGTTTTTTTTGCCAATTACCCCTTATTATAGCTTAAACAATGAACAAGCGCGTTACAATTTTAAAATTTAAATGCCTAGGGCTACAAAAAAAGTACAAGTGAGTAGGTGGGTAAAACCAAAGGATAAGGCCTTGCGACACTTTTAAGTAGTCGAGGTCGTCTAAAATTTTGATGAGTAAATTTTAGAGTTGTCTAACGATTTTTAGAACAAATTTATGACTTTGTCTTATGTACATGAGAGACAGAAATTCTCAATAAGTGATTTTTATAATAATTTACTTTTAGAACTATTTGATTTGTAACAAAATCAAATACACTAAAGTTTGCTTTAATGTCGTCTTCCTATTCTTTAGTTTTCTGGTTTTCACTGTATATGTACATACTAAAACAAACTCAAAACTTATTATTTTTATCAAAACAGTGTTCATACTTGAAATAGAATGAAAGCAGAGCACAGGATACAACGGATATATCCATCACGTTCCAGATATCCCTCATATATGCTCCAGGGTGGAGAAACAGTCCTAGATCCAGCATCTTTAATAAACTCTCAAGGAAGAATATAGATGTGAACCCGTAGTCTAGTAATCCTAGTTTCTGGTTCCATTCACTGTCTTCCTATACACATAAGTAGATTAGTAGGTAGGTAGGTAGGTAGGTAGGTAGGTAGGTAGGTAGGTAGGTAGGTAGGTAGTTAACTAGTTAGTTAGTTAGTTAGTTAGTTAGCTGTTTAGTTTAATAAGTTTATTAATTAGTTAATACGTTGATTAATTGGTTGATAGGTTAATTAGTTAGTTAGGTAGTATGGTACTTTAGGTAGTTAATTAATCAGGAAGGTAGGTAAGTGGGAAGGCAGGTAGGTAGGTAGGTATAGGTAGGTAGGTAGGTAGGTAGGTAGGTAGGTAGGTATGTAGGCAGGTAGGTGGGAAGGCAGGTAGGTAGGTCGGAAGGTAGGTAGGTAGGTGGAAAGGTATGTTGGTAGGTGGAAAGGCAGGTTTGTAGGAAGGCAGCTAGGTTAGGTAGGGTGGAAGGAAGAGAAGTAGGTGGGAAGGCAGGTATGGTAGGTGGAAAGGCCTGTAAATAGGTGGGAAGGCAGGTAGGTAGGTGGGAAGGCAGATATGGTAGGTGGAAAGGCCTGTAGGTAGGTGGGAAGGCAGGTAGGTAGATAGGTAGGTAGGTAGGTATGTAGGTAGGTGATAAGGCAGGTATGGTAGGTGGAAAGGCCTGTAGGTAGGTGGGAAGGTAGGTAGGTAGGTGGGAAGGTAGGTAGGTAGGTGGGAAGGCAGGTATGGTAAGTGGAAAGGCCTGTAGGTAGGTGGGAAGGTAGGTAGGTAGGTGGGAAGGAAGGTATGGTAAGTGGAAAGGCCTGTAGGTAGGTAGGTCAAGAATAAATGGTGTTATAAAAGTTCAAACTTTAAACAAATTCTGACAGAAAATTACATTTAAATCCCAGAGTGAAAAAATTTAATTTATATTAGGATCAAATGAAATATAGAATTAGACTGCCATTTAATTTAGCAAAAAGCTTGCTAAGGAAATGTGAATGTAAAGTTAAGCAATGATTTATGTTTTGATATACAAGATTTAATGAAAAAATTGATTTCTTGCCACAAACTCAAATTGTAAAGATAAACAGATTAGAATTTCAGAGTTGTTGGCAAAGACTCAATTCCTTTTATTTTGTATTTTTTATCTCTATCTATTAAACAATTTTCTCCTCATAGATGTAACACATAGAAGTAAAATTAGTAGCGATCGAGTCAGACTTTTTAAAGAACTTCACTTTGAACCCCCCCCCCCTTTCATTTTTCGCAAACACTCCCTTTAATTTTGTACCTTGACAGGATCTTCTAGAGCTAGTGCTACACTGCTGAGTAGAATAACAAACATGATAAACCCATCAAAAAATGGTCGAGTTACAAACCAATGAAGCCCAATCCGAACCCTGAACAAACAAACTCAATACTTTAAATTCATATTGAAACAGAATCATCAAAAACATTAAAATTATGTCGACATTTTGCCAAGGTTTTAATTAGTTTTCCTAAATGGACTGTCGACATACTTATGATTGGCCCTTTGATTGAAGAAGAGCATAACCGATTCACATCGGTACCCTTTAATCTACAGGGTGTCTCTAAAAAAAGAGATTAAGGGTCTGCAGACTCCTTTGTAACCCGATTTTCAAGATTGAGACCACTTTTAAAATCTATTTTTTACAATTTTTGGTTCGATAAGACCAATTTTAGGCTTATCCGCCACGAGAGCTCTGGCGTTTTATGAGTCAATGATTCTGCAGTATCATCTTTATTTGTACATTTTTTTCTATACTCTGCGGATTTACTTGCGTCAGTTTTAAGGCAATTTCTTTACGTTATTAAGATCACTTTTTAATGGTAACAGTAGATCCAAAAATGACAATTTTAAAGACTCCTAAAGTTTCCAACTGGAGTGAGTAAATTTGGTAAAAACAAAGATAATCTCCGTTAGCACATAAGTGTCTATGCAGACCTTGTTTGCAATCGGATTTTTAGATCTACAAGCCTAAAATTGGTCTCATTGAACAAAAAATTATGAATAGATTTTTAAAATGGTCTCAATCTTTAAAATCGGGTTACAAACAAGTCTATAGACCCTTATTCCCCGTTTTTTTAAACACCCTGTACATATATATATATAATAAACAGGGACATATATATATAATAAACGGGGTGTTCCACATTATAATGGATCGTTTATAACTCTATCTTTAGATTTTAGGGACTAAAATTCAAAAAGAATGAATCATGAAAAAAAACTTTGTATGCAGAAAATACTAAGTTTGCCGAGTATTATGAGCGTACTTTGGCGTTGAAGCTTGGAGATACTCCAATATGATATGCAGACGTTCTGTATATGTATATGTATATTATATACTCACGGATTGGTAGACGAGAGTATGAAAAACGATGAATAAGGCAAAATTGGTCTATTCTCCTCCTCCTCTGGCAGTGCTTCCTCATCCTCATCATCCGCCCCTCCGCCTCCATCTCCGCCCCTGAATAGAATAATAAGTCTTCCGCCTCATTTTTTCTCCCTAAACTTAAAAACTAAAATCGCATTATGACTTAGGAACTCAAACTATTCAAGTCTCTAAAACGCGTAAATCGCTGCCCCCACGGGCTCACACAACAAATAAAAATCAGACGCCTTAACGTCTAAGATTCAACAGAAAGAATATAAGAGTTCTCTATTCAAAGTAGGGAATATTTCTATTTCTAATGTTTATTCTATGTTCATCCTCCTAGTTTTCATTGCATAAAACCAAAGAAAGATTTAAAAATAATTCCTCCTAATAGTCGGTTCTTACTCAGTTTCTTAGTTTACGAAATGACCAAAATAACCATTAGCATATTATTCCGCAAAAATACAAATTTACTTTTAGAAGTTTTTTTCGTCGGATAAAAGTTGAACTTGTTTTTATACATACAGGGGGAATAAAAACATAAGTTCTAAATATCCGACATAATACCTACTATATATATATATATATATATATTTATTCATTTATATACAAAAACTTGATTTAAAGTAATACCTTTACTAAATAAGGGTGAAACTTTTTTGATAAAAATCCACAAATTAATCTTTTCTTTAATAGATTTGAGAATTTTTTTAATATTATCAAATTTATTCACTTTTTTGCTTTTTTGTCTAAGGAATTGAGTCTTATTCACAAAGCTTGATTTCTAATCCCTATATCTTTGCGACCCATTTTTGTAGATCCTACATAATTCAAACTATGAACTCTAACAGAATTTGATCAAATAATATAAGTTTAAAATATCAAAAGATATATTGGTTAGAAAATTTGAGTTTGTGGCAAAGACTCAATTCCTTTCGTCAAAATAATCATGATGGGTATCAACATATCCGTCTTGAATCAGGGTCAATCCATAAAGAAGGAATACACCATTTGATAAAAAAATAGGTTCTTCTCAAATTTAAAATTCTCGATTTATAGAGTACTAAAAAAGTCTAATTTGTTGTTACTGAATATGCTCTTAAGCATTTAATTTTAGACCTACATTAAAACTTTGAAAGATTTTGAAATCTCCAATTTTCAATAAATTTACAAAAAAAAATTCAAAAATGTTCACAAACTTTGAACCCCCAAAAAACTCACGTCGGACCCCTCACCCCAAATCTCAAATTCAAAAATTTAATTTTGAGACCCCACATTTTAGTATTATTTTCTCAACTATATGAATTTGGGTATCATTTTTACTACAATTTAACAAGGATTACCAATTTAAGAGTAGTTTTAACCGAAAATGTAATTTTTTCAAATTTGACACGTTGTGACACCAAATTTTGAACTGGCTGTGGTTGGTTCTAAAAATTGAGATAAAAAGCCCAAATTTTGCATGCAGACTCCAATTGTGTTCATCTACACGTACAACAAAGAAAATTTTGGACTAGGGGCCATTGACCTCAGTTTTGACCCCCATAAAATCAGAAAATACAACTTTTTTACCCTTTAACTTAGCTATACAAATTTTGCCATTGTTAGCAACCACAGAAGTTACGCGTTAGGATAAACACAGATATGCGACCTCCAGTTTGACCTCTTATCCTCCATTGTTACCTCAAAATAATCAAGATCTACGAAGACCAAGTATAATGTCATGTTCAGTAACATTTACGCATTTAAGTTGTTTATTGGATCAATTTGAAAGATCCTTCTATTTATCTCTATTTATCTACATGTTCTTACACTCTAGCAGTCTTCGACCTCCTAATAATCCTTTATAGATGTTGCTTATAATTTGCGACTGAATAATATTTTGCCAATGTAAAAAGGATTTCACATTTTCAATGAAATAGTTTCACCCTTACCCAAACAGATTATCAAGTACAAAAGGCGACAACAAAGAAATGGCCAATTACACACGACGTCACAAGTGTCAAATATAACAAGGAAATTAAAGTTTCTCACATTAGTTGACATGTTTTCCAAGATTAGATAAAAAAGTGTAAAAACAGAAACGGAAGGACACATAAAATTATTTTACTGTAAGATGAGCACTTTATTCTAAAATTATCACTATTTTTAATAATTTTGTCGGAAACAAAAACTGAGTTGACACTTGTGACGTAAGAATACAGCTGTACTGAGAATGTACAAATTCTACGAGGCCGACTATTGTACTATAATCTATTTTCCCTTACCATGGGCTATATAACATAAATTTATCATTATTGTACCTACACTTTTTAGATCGGTGAATTCCCTTATATTTTGAAAATATACTTACATACTACTTGGATCTAAGGCACCGAGTGCAGCTTGCTCCGCAATTCTTGCTGCCTCCTCTTCCGCCTCCTTCCTCTCCTTATCTGCCTCCTCCGCCGCAGTTAACTCCGCCGCCTGATCCAGGGAGTCGCAGGCGATAGCCAAGAACACATTGAGTAAGGTCCAATCTCCACAGAGGAGAAGGATAACGAAGTAGGTTCCGTAGATGGCTCCTCCACCGGCTCTTCCTCCTTTAGATCTGATAGCTGTGTACATAACCTCATTCCAGTCCTCTCCAGTCAGCACCTGGAGTAAACATTAATATTAAACTTAAACCAGTTCATTTTCATTTGAATCTAGAGCAAACATTCAATAATAACTCAAACAATTCCTATTAAGTTTAAACCTGGAGTACACAGTCAATGATAAACTTCAACCAGTCCTATACAAATAGTACATGGAGTAAACATTTAAGCTTAAACTCCTCATCCAGTAACGGAAAAAGCATTCAAAAATTAACTTTAACATTACTATCCAGTTAAAAACGAAAGAAATACATATGTTAAAAAGGGAACCAAACAAAGATATTTTCAAACCGAAAAGGGTTTGGAGAAAATCCGACTTGAATGAATAAGATTGTCCCTTTAACAAATAACTATAACAATCTCAAATTGATCATTCTTAAGAATATCATCCTCGTAACATCCATTAAAGTCACGATCACAAAATTATTTGGCTAAGTAGTCCTGACTTTTGTAATCAAAACAGTCTGAGTGAACAAATTTTCAGGAAATATAAAGTCATGACTTTTTATCCAGATTTTTTTTCCTGTTCCGGAAGAAAATTCCTTGAAAACAAAGTCGGTAACTTTTTTCCAGTGAATTTTTTTATGACTGATTGATTGATTTCTGTTTACCTGAAAGACAGTGAGCAGTGCGTTGATAATTGAATCAAAGTTTGAGGTTGGAGTTCCCTCCGGGAAATTAAGTTGGCCTCCGAAGAACTGCATCCCGAGCAGTGCGAAGATAAAGATGAAGAGGAAGAGAAGAAGAAGAAGAGACATGATAGAGGAGAGAGCATTCATCAGAGCTATCACCAGGTTACGCAGGGGGGACCAGTATCTATAAATATATAGTAATAAGTTTATTTTTATATGTCTGATCATAATTAAGGAATAATTAAGGAACCGAATTGTCTGGAATCTTATTTTGGAACTCGGTAAAACCACGGGAATGTTCTTAGTTTGGTTTAATATTTAGTGGTTGACTTATATTCCAGACAAAGCTGGGTTTCACAGCTAGTATACAGTATTCTTTCCTTTTAAAATTAGAATAAAATCACAAAATGCCGTGTTCATAGAAAGTCTAGTGCGCTGTGTTCCAGATGATAGCCACGAATACATTCATAAAGGAATTGAGTCTCTGGCACAAACTCTAATTTTCTAATCCCTATATCTCTGCAACCTAATGTCGGAGAACTTAGATATTTCAAACTAGGCATTCTATCAGATCAAATAATCTAGGTTTGAAACATTAAAGGTTTACAACATCAGGTGGCTTAGATAAAGGGATTGGAACATTGGAGTTTGTTGCAAAGACTCAATTCCTTTGTTAGGAATTTAAAGTGAAAGAAAGAATTAAGAACGGAATGACAGAAATAGATAAAATGTTTTTTAATCAGGGCAAATTACATTTTTTCTTCATTATTTTGATTCGCAAAAAAACTGTTCGCCTGAAAACTGGTTTTAAAAAACGAGAAAAAAAATACAATTTTCGTAGTTTGCGAATCTGGCAAAATAATATTCCCGATGCAATATTACAAAAAATAACTTGCAAAAAAATTGCTAAAAGTTAGATTTCGCACATGCACTTTTTGCAGACATGGTGAACAAAGTCTTTATATTCTGTAGCTTTCAAATGTTTAAAAAATGTGAGTTCAAATGACAAGATTTTATATGAACTTAAAATATCACAATTTGTGGTGTGCAGTGGATTGAAATAATACTAATAGACGTGAAGGAATTAAACTCTATAGACCCATTGAATTGAATTTTAACATGAAACCAAGAAAACTGGATCAAATAAACGGAGAAATGGATACTTTATAGATTCTCAGTTTTTATGATAACTATAAATAAAATAAATAAAAAAATAAATAAAATTCGATACATTTTCGCTAAATTTTATACGATTACAAATCGTATATCCACAACAATTTTAACACATAAAGTGCAAACAAAAATAAAAACTTTAAAAGGGTATAGGAACAAAAAAATTATTGCCGTTTTTTATTTTGTATAAACTCTTTTTTGAATTTCTATATTTTAAATACAATATATACATAGATTAAATTTGAAATGTAAACAAAATTAATCTTATTAAAAAAGAAAAAAACTTACTTTGTAACTTTGAAAACCCTGAGAAGCCGGAGAGCCCTGAGACCTGAGAGACCGAAGGATCCAGCCCTAGGTTTGAAGTTGACCCAGAAGACCTCACAAATTGACCCAAATATGACGACACAATCGAACTTGTTGAAAGCAGAATCGAAGTAGTTGGGAAGGGGGAAGATAGTTTTATTGGAGCATTACACTTTCCTAATTGTCGGGGCAGAGAGATAAGGGTAATTATTTAGATCTAGAATCAAATCTTAATACAAACAAATCTTAATAAATACAGGATAATCATATAATGTAATAGATACAAAGGAAATTTTTTTTTTATTCAAATCTTAGATCATAATTCTAAAATTAGACTAGGAAGAGAAGATAAAGTAGGAAGGAGATATATCTGAAGAAAAGCAGGATAGGTTAGGAAGAGAAGATAAAGTAGGGAGGAGATATATCTGAAGAAAAGCAGGATAGGTTGGGAAGAGAAGATAAAGTAGGAAGGAGATATATCTGAAGAAAAGCAGGATAGGTTAGGAAGAGAAGATAAAGTAGGGAGGAGATTTATCTGGAGAAAGGAAGGAAGGAGATATATCTGGAGAAAAGTAGGAAGAAGATATGTTTAGAGAAAGTAGGAAGAAGATATATCTTGAGAAAAGTAGGACGAAAGACAGAAATCTCATCTGTTTCAGGATTCTTTAATTAAACTTTTCACCAAGATTCCGAGTTTCACTCGAGAGAGAAACAATAGAATTTCTGGCTGGAATTAATTACATTATACCTTAATTAGTTGGAGAAATTTTCATCTTATTATATATTTGTATTAATGGTTTCAATCAAGACCGGATAAATATCTATATAAGATGATGTTTATCCAGAACGGATATTTATCAAGGACGGATACTTAGGAAGGATGGAAGTTTTTACGATGACGGAAATTTAACCAGAGCTGAAAACTTTAAAATGGAATATTCTTAATCCCTATCGGTTAATTAATCTTGAATTTAAAAATGAGAGGAGAACAAGCATTATTTAATCTCGAGATTAAGAAAAAAAGTGAATCAAGCATTAATCCCGATATCCACCATTCAAAAGTTTTCAGCTGAGGACAGATATCTATCCAGTAGAATTACTGTTCATTAAACTCATAAACAGTAGGAGAGGATATTCATCCCTGGATAGTTTTTTAAGGACAAATGTAGAGGATAGACTGATACTAATGATACATGTGTTTGAAATAGACGCTGATCAAGAACAAAACAAATACTAATTTAGTAAGATATTTACGTCCAGGACGGATGCCAAGGATATTTTTAAAAAGGATGAAGAACTGGTGGTCTGAGACGGATACTGATCTTTATAAATATACAAAATGTTGTAAACTGTAGCATTGCTCAGCTATGAGAATGATTGATATTAACCTTTACTTGAGTCAAGTTCCATTAATGCTTACTCCAGGACAATACATGTTTATATTAAGCCTCTAACCTCCTTTCCCTTTATCCTACTCTGTCCTGTCGTTTACCATTCTCCACCCCTCTCCCTCCCTCCCTTTACAACCCTCCCTCCCCAAGGCACCCCTCTTTGCCCCAAAACCTTTCAACCCTTCACAGTCTTTGCTTATCTTTTTCCCTCCTGATCAATATTCTCTCTTTGTTGTAGCAAACCATTTTATTTCCCAATTTCGAATTCTAATAACAATTTCCTATTTCCTGTCTGTGCCCTTTCTTTATCCAATTCCAATGTATAATCTCATATCTCCAGGCTTCACCTATTCTTTCTTTTTATCCATTCTTCTCTGTTCCTGTAGTACTACAGTACCCTGAGCAGTGTGGGAGAAACTCTCAGGAGAATTGAACCCCAGATTATCTACTGATGCAAGCCTACCCTAGAGAAACCAGATGGATACCTGAATACCCTGATGCTGGAATACTAGGCCGGATATCTTTGCAATAAAACTGGATACCTATACACCATAATACTCTCCTCGCTGCTGTCGCATGAAAACTGGATAACTGGATACACGAATACTGAGCTGGATATCTTCGCAAGAAAACTGGATAACTGGATACAAAAATACTGAGTCGGATATCATTTCAAGAAAACTAAATAACTAGATACAAAAATACTGAGCCGGATATCTTCGCAAGAAAACTGAACAACTAGATACTAGAATACTGAGCCGGATATCTTTTCAAGAAAACTAGATAACTAGATAAAAGAATACTGGGCCGGATATCTTTTCAAGAAAACTGGATAACTGGATACAAGAATATTAGGCCGGATATCTTCACAAGAAAACTGAATATCTGAATATTTTGCATTTTTTAAAAATTCCTTTATTTATCGCGAAATTTTCGCATTTCTTATTTCTTGAAAATTTCGCATTTTTTCGCGAAAATTCGCTAAAAATGCGAAATTTTCGCGAAACAATTTTCTTCTTTGCTGGAAACCCTAAATTATTTTTACAAGAAAACTGGATAACTGGATTTAGGAATTCCAAGCCGGATATCTTTTAAAGAAAACTCGATAACTGGATACAAGAATTCTTAGCCGGATATATTTTCAAAAAAACCGGACAACTGTATACCAAAATACTGAGCCGGATATATTTTCAAGAAAACTGGATAACTGTATACCAAAATACTGAGCCGGATATATTTCAAGAAAACTGGATAACTGGAGTGGATACCAGTATACTAGACAGGATAACTTTATAAGGAAACTAAATAACTGGATACAAGAATTCTGAGATACAATTTCGCAGTTCTTTAGATGTTGGTTTATCTATGAGCACTTGGATACGGGATTCATTTATGTATTTAGATGTTGGTTTATCTATGAGCACTTGGATCCGGGATTCATTTATGTATTTAGATGTTGGTTTATCTATGAGCACTTGGATACGGGATACATTTATGTATTTAACTATTTTTAAATTTCTGCATGAATAAGAAATCAGCTTCCTTGAGTAAAAAATCTGCAGAGAAACTGAACCTTAGTTCTAAAAATAGATAAATCATCTTTCTCCGACAAAATCTTGAATCAAAACTGAAAATTTTCTCTTCCCATTTTCTCCCATAGCATTTTTCTCTCTGCTTTAAACTACGGGTTATTTCACCTGACCCTTCCATCTACTTTTCTGTTCTCTTTACAGTTAATCCCTTTTTCACCTGACCCTTCCATCTACTTTTCTATTCTCTTTACAGTTAATCCCTTTTTCACCTGACCCTTCCATCTACTTTTCTTTTCTCTTCTACTTTACCTATTTATTTAAGCCACCTCTTTCATTCCTTTCCAAATTTTAAATTATTCCATTTCTCACATTTTTTAGTTTTCTCTTTCTTTACCTCCCCCCTCCCCTCTAAAATGGGGAGGGGAGGGAGGGGAGGTAAAGACACCTCGCCTCCTCCTATCTACAAGGCGGGGATGATTCTGAACTTGAGTTTGAAGAATTGGCACTCTCCTTAAATTTATCAGGGTTTGGGAGAGGAGAAAATGTTTTTATCAGGGTTCTAAATTATGAATTATAATAAAAACAGTGTAATTTTTTATTATCAGGTTTATACCAAGAATCCGGTCTAATTCCTTCTGAAAAAAATTGATTCTTTGCCACAAACTCTGATTTTATTATCACGATATCTTTACAACTTGGTATTTCAAACTTAGATTATTTGATCTAACATAGTTTACAGTTTGAAATATCAAACATTGCAAGTGGCAAATATACAGCTATTAGAAAATCAAAGTTCTAGTGTAGAAAATCTGTATTCTAGTGTATTGCGTGTATTTATGCAAACCATGTTTCCCATGTATTCTATGTATTCTATGTATTCTATTGTATTTCCGATAGGCATGACATTAGCAACACGAGACTGTGATACTCACTACACTACAGAATATCATCAAGAATATAAATCATCCTTCATCCTTCATAATACATTTTTCTTAGAGAAGAGAAATGTGAGAGAACAGAGTTATAAAAAATACAGAAAAAGCTTTAAATGATTGTTATTCCTTTTTTGAAGATGTTTTTTTTCTCAAAGCATATTCGAGAAAATTATAAGCAATGGATTTATCTTTAGATTCCTTTATTAAACCAATATGCTTTATACCTCCTAATTCAAGGTTGAATACAATCTTCTCCCAAGCTGGAAACTCTTGCGTTACTGATATAGAGATCACTACTTGATCTCCTCTTTTTGTTAATCTGCAGATTAATTTAATCTTTATTTAATATCTAGGAAAGTGTCTAAAATTCAACCAATCAGAGTGTCGTCTACAGAATTAAACCAAACATTCGGGAAATTTTACGCGCTATGAAAGAAAGAAATCTCATTGGTCGGAATCCAGCAGGGATATCCAAAAGAGAGAATTAAGCAGAAAATCAAAAGTGTCCAAGGTGAATATAGAGATATCGCGAACGGGATTAAATGTATGTAACACAAGAGTTACCAGTTCTAATTAGTTACTCTCAGAGATTAGAGAGATCGATTAACACCTATAATATGCAATATTTTCCACAGCATGTTTTATTGTGTACAAGTACTGTACACGACTAATCAGGAGACATCTGTATTCAGGGATATTTAAGGATCCTTTGAAAAGGAAATGCAAAATCTTTAAAAATAGACACTATTCATAAGCGTTATGTTTTATGTTTAAAATTGGAGTATCTTTAAAAGTTGTAAAACTTAACCCTTGAATGCAACAATTCGGCCGTGAGATGTCAGTCAAAAAACATTACATGGAACCGTAGCATGGCGTGCCGGGACACTATAGGCATGCCCAGCCTATTCTGGTAGAGTGTATGAGCAGTCTGTGAAGTCTGTGGTTACTCTAACTAAAATGTTCACAATAACCTTTGTGCTTGTGTAAATATATAAGTTTGCAACTGCATTTATAACTGAAGCAAAACAAACATAATCGTAAAAGAAAAGTTTTAAAAGTTTTGTTAAAGGGACTTGCAAAACGTAATTTCAAGTTACATTATGCAAAAATAGCAATACCCGATTCACAACGATACCCTTAAAACCTTTATCTAATAATGAGAATGATATTGTCGTTTTCATAGACTTAAAAGTATTTATTTCTGATAATTCCCATATGTTTTCCTGCAGTAGAAATGCGCAAGTATTTCGCAGAGTAACCACAATTGAAATCTTTTTTTCTAACTATAAACATAAATATCTAATTAATACTTTCAAGGGTACTGTTGTGAATCGGGCACTGCCATTTTTGCATGGAAAGTCTATTGAAATTACCCTTTCAAGTTTGCTTTCAGTGCATTAAAAACATTCTCCTCCACCTGTATAAATCTATGACCTAGGTTGGATAAACCGATTTTCTCAGTTCTATAAAGAATGAATGAAAGAATTATCTAAATATATCAGGTTCGGTCTCTAATCTCTGGGTGTCGGAGAACCCGGTAGTTCTAGATCCAGTGGGAGCAGGATAAACTATTCTCTCCGGAATCCGGTTCAAACTTTCAATAAACTTTCTCATTCTAAGGTTTTGCAAGGACGAATAAATGGTGGGGGGGGGGGGTTAATGTGCCGGGGTGCAGGGTGGATATGAGTTTGCAAGGATGGATCGCAGAGGAAGATGACATGAGAAAGAGTTAGGGAATTTTTCTGACTTAAATTGATGTATGAGTGAATGACTAACAGTAAGTGAGTAATACTGATACTAAAGAATTATCAGAGAACAATCAAAAGGACGAAAAAATGGAAATATCTAAAAAAGTCAAGAAATCTAAATGCATTTTCTTACAAAATATTAAACAATGACTACATCAAGAGGCGAAGAGTTACATTTTCCCAGGGTACTAATGCAAGGAAAGTTAATTGCGGTCGCGTATACTCTGCGTAAATATTGAAACCAGTTCTTTCTGGGTGGAATTTGTAAACAAGAATAGATGCATCAGTATTCGTCTAGTATCCCAGGAGGATTATAGCATTTAATTTTGATAATTTTGAAAATTCACATAAAAATTTCCTATGACCAGAATATTTCATAGATTATTTTTGTAAAAATGGATTCCATGTCAGGCTGTGACATCCGTCTTGTGTTTACTTTTCCGCCCAAAGACACTACACTGCAGTACAAAAAATGGACCTCTGAAATAACTTTCCTTGCATTAGTACCTTGCATTTTCCGCTCTGTGTAAAATAAGTTGTATTACCCTCCGATCAACCGTTTTGACGCAGGAGGTTTTTTTCTGCCATATGTTGGGCGTTTTTTTTAATATTTACCAGAATTTTAACTGTACATATTTACCAGAACTTTAACTGTACATATTTACCAGAACTTTAACTGTACATATTTACCAGAACTTTAACTGTACATATTTACCAGAACTTTAACTATACATATTTAGCGGAGAAAAATAAAATAAAAAAACTTACAAAGAAACTCTGTCAACCACTCTGGTTGGTTGTAGTGCTCGACAGCGACAGTGCAGGTGTTGAGGAAGACGAGGATAATGACCAACCAGAACCACCATTGTTGTTTACACATCCGGCGAACCCAGAACTTGAACTTTTTCAGTGTCAACATCAGACCTAGAAACATAAAATAAAGTTAAAGGGACCGTCGCGTTAATTTCAAGTTACCTTACATTTTAAAAGGGTCATGCCCGATTTATAATTCTGATAAATAGTTAGAAAAATACTGTCCAGCCTGACAATTTCCTCCATTGTTTGTGTAGCAGATATCCACCAGTTAATTTAAAGAGAACCACAGTGGAAAATAATAATTTTTCAAAACATGGATCTCTCACTCATTCCTTATCATACAAAGCTTTTAAGGGTACTGTTGTGAATCATACATGCGATAACATACATAGAAGAAAATCCCGTTTTTGGATAACAGAATAGTTATGCCAGGGTATCTGTAATTATTGTGAAATATTATTCCATATTGCACTGCTGTGTGTAATGACATTGTAAGGACCATGTCCGATCAGAGTAATGATTATCTAATATTAATTCTTTCTACATCTTCCTTTCCCAATAGAGTAAAGATATTAAAAACTCCACCGCTGCACAATCACATTTAAAGGTTTTGTCTGATCAAGTAAAAATATGAACAGTCTCATTAATTTTTAAAACAGGGTTGACTTTGAAGTGTCGTAACACCTTGGGTTTAGATTTTACAGCTCTAACCCTTTCTGTAGCCCTTTACATGTACATTTTAGTACTACTAAGAATTTGTTGCTAGCTTTGGTTTTAAAGAAGTAATTGGGAAAATTCTCATAGATTTTTGCTAGAGAGCGTGAAACCTTTAAATCACAATGGTTTCTCCAAATTAATGACTAGCGTATTTCTTGCTTCAGCAACATTGGAGAAATGTTTGGAATTATACACTTTTCAAGCAAGGACACAACGTTCTTGATCATACTAAGGTTTCTAGGGTACCTTGGGCATGCTACTCTAAAGATAACAACGATGCGACCTAATAATCGTGATTTTTCACCTTTTCTCTTTTAAACCGTTTAATCCGGCATATGCGTTTTAAGTGAAATTTGAATTTTAAACCAAAACTCGAATGGATTGAATTTGAAGAAACCAAACACACCTTGCCCTGGTAAGTCCAGGGAGCAAGTCCCATTCATACAAGGTTCTTTAATAAGGTTGGTTACTCTGTACGGAAAATGTCGTCTCCTTAGCATAGATAGATAGAATCCGCATATGACGTCATACGCGGATTCTATCTATATATGCTAAGTAGACGAAATTGTCCGTACATTGGAGCGCTTCGAGAGTAACCAACCTTATTAAAGAACCTTGCTTTTACCTGAGAGTAACCAACCTTATTAAAGAACCTTGGTTTTACCTGAGAGTAACCAACCTTGTAAAAGAACCTTGGTTTTACCTGAGAGTAACCAACCTTGTAAAAGAACCTTGGTTTTACCTGAGGCAGCTTTCAGTTCCTCTTCTTCAGAAACAACCTTCCGTTTTCCTTCAGCCAACACTCGTCGGACTTAAATAAAATATCATTTTGTGAAAATATAATTAATTTTGTTAAAATAGATTTTATTTTGATTAAATAGTTTAATTTTGTTAAAATAGATTTAATTTTGTTAAAATAGTTTAATTTTGTTAAAATAGATTTAATTTTGGTAAAATAGATGTAATTTTGTTAAAATAGATTTAATTTTGGTAAAATAGATTTAATTTTGGTAAAATAGATTTAATTTTGGTAAAATAGATTTAATTTTGGTAAAATAGATTTAATATCTATTTTTTGTCGAATATCATTTAAGTTAAAATATTGAATTTCGTGTCAACTTTTAAATTTTGTCTTAAAATGATAAATTTTGTGTCAAAACAATTAATTTTGCCTCAAAATATCAAGTTTTCTCAACAAAATTTTATTTAGCCCCGTACTTTTTGATTTTGCCACATAATATTCAATTTGTCTCAACATCAAAATAAATTGTTCTCAAAGTTTTATTCCTATAATATTGTTTCATCTCCAATATTTAGTTAATATTGGAAACCCTTAACAATGGTTGATGTTAGAATGAAAGGAATTGAGTCTTTGCCACAAACTCTAATTTTCTAATCATATAATCTTTGGAACCAAATGTTGCAGACTATAGATATTTCAAACTATGAATTCTGTTAGATCAAATAATCTGAGTTTGAAATATCAAAGGTTTACAACATCTAGTTCTGAAGATATTGAGGTTTAAATATTTGATTTTGTTCAAAAGACTCAATTCCTTTGGCAGAAATTAATTAACTTTAAGTTTGAAAATTCTATTCTCCCACCATCCCCAAGTTATCTCATGAATATTAAGTTTTAATTAATTTGTTTCCAGAAACTAGTCTTTTTTTTATAGACTATAGTGCACAATACTTACTGAAATAAATAAGGTTTTTGTTCATTTTGATCTTGGTTTCTCGAAAAATGACAAAAATGCCTACAATCCAACTGATTTATTATACATGTTACGTAAAAAGTGTTGATTTTCTTATTTAAACGGACGGATAGTTTTTAAACATTAATTATAATTTGAGCCTTCTCATGCCATTCTTTGAAAATCAATATAAATACAAATATATATACATATTTTCGCAGGTTTGGGTGTATCCATGTTTGTTTTAACCTTTAGTCAATAAAATGAACAAACAGTTTTGAACTAAATTTAAAAAGGAATTGAGTCTTTGCCGCAAACTCAAATTTTCTAAATCCTATATCTTTCCAACATGATGTTGTAAACCTTTGATATTTCATATCAAAGTTGTTTGATCTAACAGAATTATAATTTGAAATATACAAGGTCTACGACATTAGAAAATTAGAGTTTGTGAAATATAGTCAGTTTCTTTAACCTTCCCTCCCATGAGGCAAGTGTAGAGGACCAGTGGTTAATGTGTTTGTAAGCACATATATATATAAAATGTTCAAACATAATTAATATCTTTTATTTATTTTTACATTTTAAACCGGAGGAAAGTGCATTTTAGGATAAATGTTTAATGTTCTGTACTTTACATGCACTAAAACATAAAATTCAAAAAAGTACAAAAATCGAATGTTAAACAATTTTGTGACAACAGCGTTTGAAGGACGTAGCTAGGAATGAATGATTGATATGAATAGAATAAATAGTTTTTTTTATTAGTTAATTTACGTGTTGATACTTTTACTACTTCACACTTGGTTTTACCTGAAAGTAACCAACCTTATTAAAGAACCTTGGTTTTACCTGAACCGTAGCATGGCGTGCCGGGACACTATAGGCCTGCTCAGCCTATCCAGGTAGTGCAGTCACAACATATTTTTTTTAGGCTTTCATTCGCTGAATTGGGATAAATTAATAAATTTCTGGTTATAAAGTATGAAAAAGGATTAAAAAACCTTGCCTTTGGAGATCAATTTTATTTTTTCCTCCCAACAGATCTTCAAAAATATTTTCCCCTTCAGTAGAAAGAGTAGAAGGCATCAAAGGTAAATATTTTAAGGATATTTTATTGCTTTTCAGTTTTCAGCTCGGGACACCCTGTATGTTAGATGAAAT